CCCCAAAACCCCAAAACCCCAAAACCCCAAAACCCCTTTTGTTCGGTAAAATATTGAAATTATAATATTAAGATGTTGACTAAACTATTTTTGGTGGCCACTTTACTTATGACCTTCCAATTCTGAAAGGGGGATAACCCAGTTCTGTGCAAACTTAGCGATGTGATAGGGATCTGGAAGTTCAGTATTGACACAATGACTGTACCGAAGAGCAGTCGTGATTATGAAAGATTTTCATGAGATAGACACCAACCAACTGTTTTAGCTGATTATTCACAAGACGAAGTCGCTCCTCAAGCTGAAATTTTGGCCAGGATTCAAGGGAATTCTGGAGCAGAGCCAGCTGTGAGAGAGATCTATGTCGAGCTTGACGGAAATGAGGATGTTGTGATACAGTACGCAGATGAAGATGTGCGAGAAGCCATCTCAGAAGGAACTTGGACAATGGTCATTCATGAAGGCCTACTTGGATATCTCTATGATTCTACTATTGATCAGGAGATTACATTCGATTCTTTCTGGCGATACAATCGTATTGGGGAAAATGAATATATCTCTGACTGTACTCAAACCATGCTCGGATGGTATCATACTATTAATCCTGAGAATGAAGATGAAGAACAATGGGGATGCTTTTGGGGCGAAAAGCTATCAGGCCCTTATGAGTCTGAAACTGTGGAATTCAGAGATGATTCTCCTGTTTTAACAGAAGGTTCTTCTTCCAATGAAGCCATGGAATGTATGGATATAATTGATGAAAAAGAGAGAAATGGTCAATTAACTTGGGCTAGGAATGATGATGTACACTTTTCGGCTCAAGCTAATTTAGCCAGAGATAACCCCTTTCTGGATAATGATGGAGATGATGAAGGCTTAGGTGATCAAATGAATGATTCTGAAGATTCATGAGAGGGGTATGAAAACTACCTCAATCCTTGAACTTTGGCTTCTTATGAGTATCTAGGAGCAGATCCTGATACCATCCCAACTGAAGATCTTCCAGAAGCTATTAACTGGAATAATGTAGCTGGGAGAAGTTTCTTCCCACCAATTGTTAATCAGCCTTGAGGTGATTGCTTCCTAGTAGCCTCTCTAGAAGTTATTGAATCAAGACTCATGATCATGAGTGATGGAGAACTTGATCTCAGGTTGAGCGGCCAACAACAAAAAGACTGCAACTTTTATGCAGAAGGCTGAGATGGAGGTCTTCCTATTCATGTTGCTAAATATGGAAATGAGTTTCAGCTAGTTGAAGAGAACTGATACAATGAGAGAAGAGAAGCTACTGACACTTGAGTCAATGACATCGAAAATTCAGACGATTGACAAACTTTTAGGATTGAGGACTTCTACTTAGTTGGTGATAACTATGGAGGTGTTAGTGAAGAGCTCCTAATGAAAGAACTCGTAGCTCATGGACCGGTCACTACTGTTGTTAATGCTCCAAGACATTTTAATCAGTACAGAGGATGCATCTTTGAGCAAGATTGAGACCAAGAAGCAGGTTCAATAACTTACATTGAAGATGAGGATGAGATTAGTAGAATCATGCAAATCTCAACAAATGATGATCATAGGATAAACACACAAACTCTCAGAGAAAGAGGAATAGAGTGGGAGCTTGTAAATCATAGTGTTGTCCTTATTGGATATGGAAGAGACACCCAATGCATCAATGATCTTCATGAATTTGCATCTCAAAGTAGAATCCAAACGAGGCTTCAAAACCGGATAATGGTGCAACAAGATAATCCAAGAGAGTGCGCAGAAGATGGAGCTTATTGGATCATAGCTAACTCCTGGGGTACAAGGTTTGGTGAAAATGGATTGTTCAGGATAAGAAGAGGATGAAATGATTTCGGAATTGAGACACAAGCTATGTCTATCACTGCTGGTATTGAAAACCTCGATCTTCTTCATTGTAAGTTCAGAGAAGGTGAGGATAGATGCTAAATATAATTATAATAACACCAAAATTCATAATTCTTCAATTTCAATTTTTATTATCAAAATGGGGTTTTGGGGTTTTGGGGTTTTGGGG